AGGTTTTGTATGAGCAGAAACAGTTTTTGGGAACTCAAACTGTATAAATATATCACTGTATAAAGAGTCAAATAATTAGCTGAATAATTTCATTCTGTAGCTCATAAAAAACACCGTACAAAAGCATTTCAGTCTTTCAAACATGCTTCACACTCGAAAGAGTGTAATTAAACCTTATGAACTGAATTCATAACTAGGCCTCTGCATATTTCTATGTTAAACAAACAAACTGCATATATTTCAAAATGTCATTTTCTGTTCATGGGCCATAACTGAACCGTAAACAATTTCGAGCATTCTAATGAAGCTAGTTGTCCCGACGATGTTTTATTTGCTCAGTTTCTTGACGCTATTTACACAACAACATGCCAACTCTCTTGCGGGGCATCAGATAAATCGTCTCACGTGTAAAGAGGATGAAGGTAATATGTCAGGATGCTCTATTTTGGATTAATACTGACTGAAGTACCCCAATCTTTCAACTGAATAAAATAGATAAAGCTGTTTAAGCCCATTTTAGACACGAAAACACTTTCAGTCAAACGTACCTTCACATCTCAGATCCTTCGCGGACCCAAAGTCAGACACCATGATGTGCATTTGCTGAGATAACAAGATATTTTCAGGCTTGATATCACTAAAACAAAATAAAAATATAATATAGAAGTAAAATTTACGAGAAAATGTCAAAAAATATACGTATCCAATACATACCTACCTTTTGACATTACTATTTACACAGAAGAAGGTGAAGGGGAAACAAGTGTTTTGCATTTTGTGATTTACGTTGCTTTACAATTAATTTACCAACCGTCAAGATCAAATGAGTTTACCCGAATCTAAAGATTCATTATTTTTTGCATTATCCAGAAAACTACATCAACACAATACGCTAGTTTGTACCGGATACCTATTATATACATCTACATTTCATACCGACACATGTTTTACACGAAAAACTCTTCAAAGACCGTTAAAATAAGCGGTAAGCATGAAAGTGAATTAGTAAGCTGAAGAAAAGCGCCTAGTCCTGGGTAACCATGATAGAAGCCGGCTATTAATGATTCACTACCAGAAGAATCTGAGAGAAAAAATACAAAGGTTCATGAACAGACACAAAGTTAAGATATGTCTTTCGCTGCGTGGGCTAGGGTGTCTTACGTATAAGAAATCGACCGTATAATAACAGGATACCTGGGAGAAATGCACTGCACCAATCGCACTTATGGCGACATGTGTCAGAGGAACTAAAAGAAAACTCAAAAACAGGATAGGGGAACATATGGAATAAGGATGCCGAGTTTACGCAATGGCAAAACAAGGCATTGTAAATGACGGTATCATCCAATGGCAATCGAGCAAAATAATTTTAAGAGAAACTTGAGAAAAAAGAAGTAAATGGAAGGCCTGATATAGGAACGAAGTTTCTAGACGGGAAGAGACATATAGGATTAACTCAAATTAGTAACCATACCGTTCCATTATTTTTTGTCTTTCCACGTGTTTTATTACACAATGTTTTTCACCATATCATCTGACATAATTGCGCTAGTCACGTTTTTGAACTACAGCCACGAATTCGGTACTAAGAAGGCTCGTCATAAGAAGAAAAGACAAGTGCACCAAGCTTTGCCCTTCCTGCACGTCGTTTACCACCAAGACGCAAGATCGCTTCAGAACCTGTTAGGACTGAACAGGGATCGCGCAACCGTAAATCCTCCGTAATTTATAATAGTGAATTAATTTTGTATTCACTTAATTATAAAGTGAATAAAAGCATGTATTTATTTCAGTAAATTATTTACGAAATTTAATTTCAAATCAGTACTTCATTCTGCTTTAAATAT